GGGATAAGAGGACAAGGTACTGGGATATGAGAACAAGGAGCTGGGACATGAGAACAAGGAGCTGGGACATGAGAACAAAAAGCTGGGACATGAGAACAAGGAGCTGGGACATGAGAACAAGGAGCTGGGACATGAGAACAAGGAGCTGGGACATGAGAACAAGGAGCTGGGACATGAGAACAAGGAGCTGGGATAAGAGGACAAGGTACTGGGATATCACGGAGGGAAATGATCGGTTTCCAGCTACCAGGTTATATATTCCTTGGAGTTGAACGCCAACCTGCAAGGAGCAAAATCCTTCGCTTTTCCAACCAGACCAAGTGGTTGGGTAATCTCCGGATTAATGCAAGCGATCGTATGTGTTCAGTTAACGTAGATACCATTACAATTATTCTTTATTTTCGAGCGCTGTTAGCCCGTGATTCACGATTTCAATTTCGTTATATGTATATATATAGGGGGGGGGGGGTAGTACCACCTCTGGTTGCGTCTGTAGGGACCCTCGACCTCGTAGAAGAAGATATGCAGCATCCGGGGGAGCCTTGTGTGGCACCCGCATACACTCACATATTGTCATCTTCTACCAGCCCGTATAGTTTTTATATTTTGTCATTTTACTTTATTTAAAACTTCATTACTCAAAAAGGGTTACAACATTGGTTACATGCAAGGTACAAGGCTTCTTGTCACAAGTTGTCGAGTTTCTCCAGCTCCTCAGATAATATATATATATATATATATATATATATATATATATATATATATATATATATATATATATATATATATATATATATATATATATAGAAGTTTGTGAGGGTACCACCTCTGGTGCCAATGTGGGGACCCATAGCCTCGGAGAAGAAAATAAAAAGTATTCAGAGGAGACCTTGTGGTTTCTCACTGAACACTAATATTATCTTCTCCTACCACCCCCATTCTTTTGTATGTACACATATATATTTACTTTATTTGAACTGTGTTACAAAAAAGGAGTTACATACGGGTTACAAAGATGGTTATCATAGGTTGTCGAGTTCCTCCAGCTCCTCAGATGGCGGGCAGGAACCCTGGATGCAGTGCGCATTTCCCCTCTGTATCGCCACACTGAGGCGCTGGAAAAGAAAGCTTGCAGCTCTTGGGTCCCTTGTTGTTTCAATGAGCCTAGAACCCAGTTCCTTCAAAAAACTGGTAGCACTTTTACCCCAGGCGCCGAGTGTCTCAGAAGCAATGGGGACAAAATTGTAGTGGTGATCCAGTTCACTATACTTACGGGATTTGGCTGCTTCCCTGTGGGTGGCAGCGCCACCTGGTTGTGCAACACTGAGGTTAATGTAGTATATATATAGTATATATATGTTAATGTATATATATATATATATATATATATATATATATATATATATATATTATCATTATTATTTAATTTATATGTTTATCCCCCATTCACTATATCTACGTTCTGCATTGCTATCCCTTATTCCCAATTTCCATCCATCACATACCATTCCCGTCCCTATTTCCATTTTCCAATTCCCAGTAATTCCCGATTCACATTCCAATGACTTAAATTTGCATTTCCTGCGTTACATCTTGTTGCCATACTAACTATCCCTTGTTGCCATACTAACCATCATCCCTTGTTGCCATACTAACCACCATGCCTTGTTGCCATACTAACCACCATGCCTTGTTGCCATACTAACCACCATGCCTTGTTGCCATACTAACCACCATGCCTTGTTGCCATACTAACCACCATGCCTTGTTGCCATACTAACCACCACGCCTTGTTGCCATACTAACCACCATGCCTTGTTGCCATACTAACCACCACCCCTTGTTGCCATACTAACCACCATCCCTTTGTTGCCATACTAACCACCATCCCTTTGTTGCCATACTAACCACCACCCCTTGTTGCCATACTAACCACCACCCCTTGTTGCCATACTAACCACCACCCCTTGTTGCCATACTAACCACCACCCCTTGTTGCCATACTAACCACCATCCCTTTGTTGCCATACTAACCACCACCCCTTTGTTGCCATACTAACCACCACCCCTTTGTTGCCATACTAACCACCACCCCTTGTTGCCATACTAACCACCATCCCTTTGTTGCCATACTAACCACCATTCCTTGTTGCCATACTAACCACCACCCCTTGTTGCCATACTAACCACCATCCCTTTGTTGCCATACTAACCACCATCCCATTGTTGCCATACTAACCACCATTCCTTTGTTGCCATACTAACCACCATCCCTTTGTTGCCAAACTAACCACCATCCCTTTGTTGCCATACTAACCACCATCCCATGTTGCCATACCAGAGCCCATTTCTCGCAATGCACTGGCAACTGCACAACTCCGTCCCCTCAACTCTCCATCAATGCTGCCATTGTCGTTTGTGGTGACCAACCAGACTGTTGCTGAACGCATTTGCATTGCCTGTCCCACCCCCTCCCCCCATTTATATATGACAGGGGAACCACACATCGAACGAGCTCATAGGCCGTTCGAAATTCACCTTTTTTTTCTGTTTTGTTTTGTTGTACGACCGAATCACCTTGTTTGGAGTCGTTTTGCGCTTCCCCGTTTGCAGTAGTGTGGGCTGCAAGCCCCAAGGGTTCACGTGGTCTAGATATATTTATTGATTTTTGTATTTTTTTGTAGTTATTATATGTATTTTTGTCATGTTTTCATTAGTTTTTGGGTTAAGTTGTTGACTCTCTCTCTCTCTCTCTCTCTCTCTCTCTCTCCTCCTCTCTCC